GCCCCGCATTTGGTGTATATAGTGGAGGCTACAAAGAACTTTAAAAGAGTTGTCACTCAGAGTTAAAGAATACAAGATGCCATATGATTCAGTGCCTGGAGTGCCTGCTGATAGTCCTATACAAGCTCAGGGGAGGTAGACTGTAAGGAGGGTGAGATGATATGAGCAGGGATCTCAGGGGCAAGTTTGACTGGACTTGAAGAACCTGCAAGATTGACTATTATGTCATGTGGCAGCCATCTTCTGAGATGGTCCCAGTGATTCTGGCCTTCGGGTAGCGAAGCCTTTGCGTAGTTCCTTCCCACACTGAACAAAGCTGACCAATAGGCTACTGCAGAAATGACAGCGTGTGACCTCTGAGGCTAGGTCATAAAAAATACTGTGGGTTTGATCTTGGTCTCTGTTGAACTCTTACTCTGGGGGAAGCTAGACTCCATGTCAAGAGTACATTCAAGTAGCCTATGGAGCAGCTCATTCAGAGAGGACCCAAGGCCTCCAGCCAACAGCCAATACCAACTCATCATGTGTGTGAGTCACCACAAAATGGAATACTACAGCCCAGTGAAGCCTTCAGAAGACTGCATGACTGCAACTCTGGCCAATATCTCGCCTGTGACCTTAAGAGAACCTAAGCCAGAACATCCAACTAAGCTGCTTCTAAACGCTAGATGCACAGAAATTGTGAGATAATAAGTGTTTGCTGTTTTAAGACATTGAGTTGTGGGGTAATTTGTTATGCAGCAACACAAAATCAAGAAAAGGTTGTATAAATACAGAATAAATGACTGATAACTATCATTTCTCTTTCTTTTTAATAAGTGCTTTAGCAATATTATAATGAAAAATGACATAAACTCTACTAACAACTATGACCACACAGATGAGTTCATAATCCCTATGTCCCTGATCCCAACCATTCATTTTTATATAGGTGAATGACTTAATCCATTACTAAAATACTTTTTAAAAAAATCCCTTAGTTCATTAAACAATATTTATTGAGAATCTACTACGTGTCAAAGGCATAGCATGAGTTAAATACATATAATATAAATTACATATTTGTATAGTTCAGAACACCAAATAATAGATTTAAAATATTTTCATGTTTTCTACAATTTCAGTCAAAACCAAGACACTTTAAATTTCCTTTTATAAAAAAAAAATACAATTTGATTTTACCCAAGGATAACATGAACTAATGCAACACCTTCCCACTTGGATGTGGGAAGTACAATTAAATGCACAAATGCAAACAGGGAACCCACCTCACGTGGAAATGTGGTGACTGGATGTACCTTTCTTGGAGACACATCTTGGCTGTACTGTGCACAGATCCAGATCTGTGATATTATTAGTGTCACCTTAGCACAGTTCCAGAGCTATGAACAAAAGGAATTCTAAATCTCTCTGCTCCAGAGGGATATAAGGAGATACAAAAGCAGAAGGTACACCTAGTATCATTGATGAAATATTCTTATAATTAGTAGAGAAGACTAACATAAGAAAATACAGGCAGATGATTTCATAACAAAATTTCTTTAGCTCTTGAAAGAGGTTTTGTTTTAAACAGAGGTCCGTTCTACTTGCAATCCCATGCTAATTTTTTTTTCTTCAAGATAAGAGTCTTGCTTTATCACCCACCACCGCTGGAGTGCAGTGGCGTGATCATGCCTCCGTGCAGCCTCAAACTGCTGGGCTCAAGCCATCTTCCCACCTCAGACACCCAAGTAACTAGAACTACAGGTGGCTCCACCATGGCCTGCTAATGTTTTTAATGTTTTGTGGAGACAAGGTCTTACTATGTAGCTCAGGCTGATCTTGAACTCCTGGCCTCAAGTGATTCTCCCACCTTGGCATCCCACAGTGCTGGGATTATAGGCATGGGCCACCATGACAGGCTCCATGCTAACATATTTTTTAAGCACACAACAATCCAGGTAAATGGCAGGACCTTAAGATTTTTTTAAAAGCACAAAAATACTCAGAAAGTTACACCCATAAAAATTTGCAGCCAGCTAGAAAATGTCCTATGGATATAGCATCATCTTTTAATCTCAGGAAGTGAGGTATGTTGGGAGAAAATGTGCACAAACCAGATCCACAGGAAAAGGAAGGGCTCATCATCAGAACATTCATCAATAACCAGGGAGATCTGCACTAACTCAGCAGCCTAGAAATCAACCATCCAGTGTGGCTTTTATTCTTTCAGAAGACGAAAGAAGGTGAGGAGCAGGTGTGGATGACCCTGATACAAAACCAAACCAAGAAGAGAAAAGGTTTATGGGAAAAAAAATACTTACTGACCACTGAGATCTGTGGTAACTCAGCAGCCTGGAGATGTATATACATATTATTTATTTATTTGTTTATTTATTTATTGAGTTGGAGTCTCAGTCTGTCGCCCAGGCGACAGTGGCATGCTCACAGCCATTGTAGCCTCAACCTGTTGGGCTCTGGTGATCCTTCTGCCTCAGGCTTCCAAGTAGCCAGAACTACAGGTGCGTGCTACCACGCCTGGCTAACTGTTGATTTATTGTAGAGACGAGGTCTTGTCAAGTTGGGCAGGCTGGTCTCGAACCCACGGGCTCAGGCAAACCACTCGCCTTGGCCTCCCAAAATGCTGGGATTACAGGTTGAGCCATTGACCTGGAAATTAATGACCCAAACCAAATTAAATACTGTAGATAGTGAACTAGTGGAACCTGTTCAAGAAAGAAAAAGTAAAGGCGTACCAAGTTTCAAGTACTACTTGACCTCCCAGCTAGATCCCTAAAATTATCACTGGAGGCAAAGAAGATGTCATCATGGCCATGAAAATCATGACCTCAGGGTGAATATTCAGTAGAATTTACAATAGGCTGATGAGTAAAGAACAAATGATACAAATACCTGAGAAGATACCACCACTACACAATTTCAACTGAAATCTTATCTCCAATGGGTTATACACCGATATCATACTGACCCTATCTAGGACTGGTTATCTAATTTGTGAGGTTCTAGGAGCTCCTTGTTCCAAAATTAAGACTTTCAAGATGGCAACAGCAGAGCATTAAACCAAGCACAGGGTCCTTCTAAGCATGGAGTCTCATTATGCATGCCCAGGAAACCCACTCCCATTAAAAAGAATGGAAACCAGAAGTTTTGACTTTACTTTTACCAAATTAAGAACTGCTTAAAAACACCAAGTGACTTTTTTTTTTTAGTCAGAGTCTCACTCTGTCACCCAGGCTGAGTGCAGTGGCAAAATCACAAGATCACAGCTCACCATAGCCTCAACCCCCCAGTCTCAAATGATCCTTCTGCCTCAGCCTCCTGAGTAGCTGGGAATATAGGCATGCACCACCACGTCCTTCTAATTTTTAAAATCTTGGTAGAGTTGAGGTTTTGCTATGTTGCCTGGGTTGGTCGGTCTTAAATACCTGGGATTAAACAATCCTCTCACCTTGACCTCCCAGAGTGCTGGAGTTACAGGCGTGAGCCACTGTACCTGGCCACAAGTGACATTGTTAATGGAATAATATTTTAATGAAAGACTTTATAAAGCAGTCACTGCTTTCATTATGCTCAAAATGATTTGTAATTGAGCCTTAAAGTCACCTTAACCAGTGAACAACTGCTTGTCAATGACTAAATAGTTTTTACAGTCATTTTTAAAAAAGTTTCTGAGAACCTACTGACAACACTTGAAGAGACGCAGCAGAGCTCCTGAATATTAGGATGGTAATCTGACCTAGATTCATGCCTTTTAAAATTTTTGATAGAGGGTATCTAAAGCTTCATTCTGTGTTAAAAGACATTTTTTCCAATGAAGGAGTGAACATCACACAGAGAGCTCTTGTGGGTGCAGTAATATGCAACTCTGTATTATCTCCCTTTAGGCAAGAAAGTGAGCATGATTTTGGTTGTAAATGAGATAGTTGTATCATATTTTGTGTTTATTTTAATCCAATTATATTTAAAATTATGAAACATTTTAGGTGCCAAAGTACAGACTCTATAAAGAATACTGGATGCCTATGTGGCCACCTCTTGGCTCTTAATATTAAAATTGCAATTAAAACTATTTCCTGCTCTTTCACAAAAATAACTGCCATTCCGATTTTTCTCTATCATTCCTCTGGATTTTTATGCATATGCACCTATTCTTAATATACTGTCTTTTAAAACAAATATAAATGACACCAGACTTCACCTATCGGTCTGCAACCTGTTTGACTTATTTAACATATTTTTCAGATTTGTTGCATGTAATTCTACTTTGTCGCTGTTGTTTTCCGGGCTTGCAAAAGTATTTCCTTAGGTCCACCCTCCTGAGCGTGTGCCCATCTCAAGGCCTCGGGGGTGGCCAAGGAGCCATTGTGCTGGTGGTGCTGGTGGCGTGGACGGAGCTTGCAGGTGGAAGTAAAGCCCATCCGCGTGGGCAAAGGGCTGGTGGAGCGGGATTGGAAGGGTCTTGGCAGCTCTCCCTGCCTGGAATTCCAGTCCTAGAATCCTAAACTTGGACTTGACCTTCCAGGCTGTTAGGAAGATATAGTTAAGATAGGAGGCTAGAACACATTCCACATGCTATTTAACTTGATTTATAACTTTTAAATACTCAGACGTAAAGTATGTGGGCCTTCATGTCGACTTCTGACGGGCCCCCGCAGGTGGGGGGTGGGGGTCTGCCCTTTCCTTACATCCCTGTGTTATGTAGGACACGACTAAGATGCGACCCTCCTCCTCTGTCCACCTTCCCTGCGTCAAATCCCACCTCTCCTCCTCCGTCCACTCGTTAGGACGCTCGAGTCTAACTTGAGCCCGACACCAACCTGGGAGGAAGACGCCGACCGGACGCCTAAAAGCGACGCTGGAGGCCCGCGGGGCCTCCCACGGGGGACGCGCCCCCGCCGAGCCCCGCCCGCCGCCCGCGGCATCCTGGGACTTGTAGTCTCGGAGGGTCAGCGATCCCCGCCGAGTCTCCGCCCCCAAGCGCCCGACGCGGCCTCTCGCCCTCGGGACGCCGTGACGTCGCGTTCCTCCAGTGCCTTGCCTCCCTCCTCCTTCCTTCGCCTGGAGAAGCTCCGTCCCGGACTTCCGAAGACCTTTTACGACATTGGGTCTCCGAGTGGGTCTCAGCGCCAGGTCCACTTTTCGGCAAAGTGACGTGGACGTCAACAGCAATGGCGGAAGGAGAGGGGGTCTTGCCACTGCCAACGTCGGGCGGCGACGGCTGGTGAGTGAAAGCCGGGGCTAGCTCCCACTGTCCCTTTATTCTTCCTTCTCGCCATCCTGCTGGTGCCCGAGGCACCGTCTGGCTCCGGCTTGGAACGGGAAGACCGGTCCTCGGCGAAGTCCGTGCCCTGCCCCGCCCCCTCTGCCCGCCGGGTCCCCTCTACCTGCCGCGTTCTGCCCAGGGGGACTGGGGCAGGACTCGAAGGGAGAGGGGTGTCGTCCAGGTGCCGGGCCTCACTCTCGTCCTCCAGTTTCGTCCTCCAGTCACCAAAATGTGCTGGAGAGCGCTGGTGTTGGCCGGAGTCCCTAGCTGTGGGAGTTGAAGTAGGCTGGCGAAGACGGAAGTTTCTTGGATGTTGATCGGAGACACTGAAATACGATTTGAAGAGGAGAGCTTCTGAAATGACCACTGCGACCTTTGCCTGGCGGATCACAGGTTGAGGGATCCACCCAGGGAGGAGCCCTCCCACGTAGTTGGGATATTTTAAAATTCTGATTTTTATCTCGTTTCGCATGCCGACAGTTTTCGGCGTTCGTCTCTTTCACGCAAGCTGTCTCCCTTTCCTACCACTTTTCTCACAGCTCGATTTTACAGCTTTGCATGCAGTGTGGGGCTTTGCTCTTGCTGCGCCCAAGCTTCTGTATGCTTACCTGATTTATGCTTAGTGTTGTGGGGAGGATCTCCAATAATTTTTTGGCAGTCTACTCACCCAGTGTCTGGGAAAGTCCCCTATTTCCTCTGGAAAGAGTTAATCTTCACAATACTCTGTTAGGGACAACATCATTTAAAAAGGGAACCTTTAGAAGTTTGTCTAATTTTTTGCAAGTGTATTGACCACATGTATTACCTTTGGATTTGCTTGTTCATCATGTATGTGTACAGCTCACTGTCACTCTAAATATAATACAGGGCAGTGTAGACATCGACTTTAATCTCAGAAGGGGGAAAAATGTAAATCGTTGAAAGGGATAGATAATTGGAAAATTCGACACTCAATTAAGGGACATCAAACATTACCTTACTGCATATACTCTCCAGGGTGTAGGTGGAAAAATTATGGTGACCTACATGTAGTCGTTTTTTTTTCCCCCTCAACTTGCTTATGTTGGATTGGCATGGTGTGACAGGTACATGCAGTCAACGTAGAATTAATCTCAGTCTTTAGGAGTGTGAATAAAAGTATTATGGGAGTTCAGTGGGGGCAGAAATCACTTCCACTTGGAGTTATTGGGGAAAGCTTCAGGAAAGCAGTGGTGTTTGAATTCGGTCTTGAAGAATGAGTATGATTTAGACCAGTGCTGTCTAATGGAACCACATATGTAATTTAAAAATTTTCTAGTAGCCACATTAAAAGATGAAATTAGTTTTAATAATCTACCTTATTTAATTGAATATATCCAACATATTATTTCTACATGTAATCACTGCTTTAAAAAATTAGATAATTTTACATCTTCTTTGTATCAAGTTTTCAAAATCCAGTGCGCATTTTACATTTGCCTTACATCTCAATTTGGTCTAGCCACTTAACAGATGTGAAGTATCCACATATGGCGAGTGGCTAACATTGGATAGTACAGAGTCAGACTGAGAGATGGGCAAGGCCTCTGAATGCAGTAGCAGCATAGGCAAGAAAACAAATGATTTGTCTGGAAAATGTTAGCCAGAACTGCCTGGCTGAAGGAAGTTGCAGAAAAATAGGTCGGGAAAAAACAGTAAAAAAGCGTGTGTGTGTGTGTGTGTGTGTGTGTGTGTGTGTGTGTGTGTGTGTGTGTGTGTGTGTGTGTGTGTGTGTGTGTGTGTGTTTTAAGAGACAAGGTCTTGGTCTGTTTGCCCAGGCTGGAGTGCTGTGGTGTGTTTATAGCTCACCATAGTCTTGAACTCCTGGGCTGAAGAGATCCTCCTGCCTCAGCCTCCTGAGTAGCTAGGACTACAGGCACGCATGCACCACACCGAACTAATTTTATTTTTAATTTTTTGTAGAGGTGAGTGTCTTGCTGTGTTAGCCAGGCTGGTTTTGAACTCCTGGCCTCAAGGCCTAAAAAAGTTTTTAACTAGTTAAAAGGACCTTTAAAAATAAGTAACACAGACATTGCAACACTTATTCAAGAAGTGTCTGAGCTGGTTATAACCCGAAGTTTGCTGTTTTGGAACAGTGAATTATTGTATTATAAACTGGCTGTAATCAGTAGATTGAGGTCCATGAGTAGAAATGTTTCTAAAATGAAGGTGGTTTACGGGGGCAAGGGACATGGAGGGAATGGTTGCTAGAGATAGTGTTTGTTCTAGTATGCTGTGTCTTTAGTATGTCTTCCCATTTTTGCTCATTTAATTTTCATGAATGGAGGAACCCTGAGATGTTCTGTGATTCTATTCTCCTTCCATCTTCTTCTAATCTTTCTGTTTTTTTCTGCTTTCACTTCTCTCACTAGTATCCCAGAAGTGGGTTTGAATAGAGTCAGGAGAGACCTAGAGATTGGGAGCCATAGGTTAGAATGCTTGGTGAATGGGTTGTTATAAATTGGAAATGCTTTACTTTTTTTTTTATTTTTTGAGTTGGAGTCTCATTCTGTCACACAGTCTGGAGTACAGTGGCCGCTCCCGGCCACCGCAGCATTGACCTGCTGGGCTCCGGCGATCCTTCCACCCTCAGCCTTCTAAGTAGCTGGAACTACAGGCGCATGCTACCACGCTCGGCTAATTTTTTTATTTATTGTAGAGATGAGGTCTCGCCAAGTTGTCCGGGCGGGTCTCGAACCCATGGGCTCAGGCAATTCACTCACCTCAGCCTCCCAAAGTGCTGGGATTACGGGCTAAGCCACTGAGCCCGGCCATTTTTTTTTTTTTTTTAAGAGACAGGATCTTGCTATGTTGCCCAGGCTGGCTTCAAACTTGAGTATAGGCAATTCTCCTGCCTTGGCCTCTTTAGTAGTAAGGATTATGGGCATATGCCACTGTGCCTGGCTGCACTCTTAAAAAAGAGCAAATGTTTTATTTTAACTGTCACATTTTTGTTTTAACCTTTTCAGATGGAAATTTTACTAGAATGTATCCTACATTTCACTGCCTAACTCAAACTCATCTGAATGACAGGGTCATTCAGGTTACAAATTTAAGCGTTTTAAGAATAAAACTAGGTCCCTGTCCTCAAGGAATTTATGATCTAGTTACAGGAGGCAGGTTTAAGAACGATTACTTTTGTGCTAGTGTAATAAGGTGAGACCTTTAGAGCCTACTAGGCAGATATAAGCAGGTTGTTGCTATGTTAAATGACTCTACATAGCTATCCCTTTTTGAGATTGTTTTTGTGTGTGTATGTGTTGGAGTCTCACTCTGTTGCCCAGGCTTGAGTGCAGTGGCATACTCAGGGCCACCCCAGCGTCAACCTGCTGGGCTCCAGCTATCCTTCCACTTCAGCCTTCCAAGTCCTGGAACTACAGGCATGCTCTACCATGCCCGGCTAATTTTTTGTTTTTTTGTAGGGACGAGGTCTCACCAAGTTGCCTGGGCTGGTCTCGAACCCGCGGACTCAGGCAATTCACTCGCCTCGCCCTCTCAAAAGTGTTGGGATTACAGGCTGAGCCACCGAGCCCAGCCATGAAATTGCTTTTTATAAGTTTTTCCTGTTTTCTTTTTTTTCTTGTCGTCAGTGGCATCTCTCAATTTGTTCCTAATCTGTGCAGTTAGGTAGTTGAACTTTTAAAAATTGTGTATACATTCTTAAAAAGACTTAGGTTGGAGCTTAAAGATGTTAAAAGTACATGGAATTTATGATATCATTTGATCTACTTACTGATTTTCAATTATGTCCTAGATCAGTGCTTCTTAAATTTTAAATGTGCACTAGAATTACCTGGGGAACTTGTTAAAAATCAGATTTGGGCTTGGTAGCTTTGGGTAGGACTTGTGATACTGTATTTCTGACTAGCTCCTAGGTAATACCAATTCTGCTTTTTCATGAACCACACTTCATTAAGCAGATTCTAGATAATGTATATCTCAGAATGAGTGTGTCAGAAGAATTTATAGTATATATTATATGTTATGTTGTGTCACCTTACATGTTATACTATAATTTATCTGATTACATGACTTATCATTGCCCTTTAGATAATGAATTTCTCAGGGTCAGTGACTGATAGCAGGTGGCTAAGTAAATGTTTATTGAATGAATGTATGCATGAATGAATACAGACTTTTGTATTATCATGTGCAGTAGCATACCAAGCTGCCATTTCATTTAGATTCCCTGACTCCAGTGTTTTTTGTGAGCTGTGTAATTGTTTGCTGGCATAATGCTCATTCTTTATGGAAAGCCAAGGCGATCAGAAATTTCCTGAGTTTGCAAACTTCCTGGGGACTTTAGCCATGTAAGCTCAAAAGATGTGGGGAAATCTTTGTAAAAATACTTATAGTTAGTTTGAAGTGATTTAAATTGAATTAAAAAATGAATATATGTATGAGAATTTGGATTTGTAAAGTCAAGCAATGTTAAGTTGTTGCAATTCAAAGATTGGTAATTACTTTTCTTGATATTGAAGAAACCATGATTGGATTTGGACATATGTTCTCATTTTCTGAGGCTTTCTTCCTGAAATAATTCCTAAGGGTCTAAAGTCATAATTTAAAAAAAATTGGCATAGACTTTAATTATACAACTGTTGATATTTGGAGCTTGTTTAACTTGAATTTTTTTACTCAATATTTTCTTTCAATTTGTGTTTCTAATTTGTTGCCAGACTTTTCTTAAATTATTGCTAGACTTTTCTTAAAACTGTAGAAGTATTGATTCCATAAAAAAGCTTCTTTTGTTGTTAATTTCAGATGTGAATAGGAATTGTTTTGAGAATAATAAGTTGTTTTTCATAGTTTTGTGCACTCTGTGAATAGTACTGTCAGTGCTTCCCCCATTATAAAACATTAAGATGAAGAAAGATTAAAATGTGCTTAAGGACTAAATGATTGGAGTTTCAGATATGATATAACCAAAGAAAGATGAT